GCAAGGAGGATAGAAGGGTAGGAGTGGGCATGACGTCGGCCGCGTAGCCTCCACAAGCTATGCTCCCTTGACTCCTCGCTTCTTTATCATTTTCCTCTTACTCTCCTCACTTACCATGCCAACGTGACCTCATCACGTGACCGTAGCTAGCCTTCGTCTTGCTATGGGGTACTAGAATACACCACAGTCTAGCCTTCGATCTGATAAAACCTACCGGACGGAGCGCGCGCAAGCCTGCAAGAGTCCTTCTACAATCAGCCATACATCTCACACGTGACATGTCACGCGCACCAATAGCCAGGGAGATCTGCGGTCACGCTGGGCACAAAATCGTTTAAACTTTTTATGACTAGGCTTCACCAATATTGCAACGTGCCCCCTCCTAGTACTCATAACCTCCTTGCAGTGGCGCCTGTTTCGGGAGGGGGGGGGGGGAACACATGCCTTGCCTGCCCCACCCCCCCCCCCCCCCCCCCCCCCCCCCCCCCCCCCCTTCGTGTTGGTACTCCCGATGGACGACGATACGCCATGTTTGTTTTCGAAATCGGGGAATATACATTGAAGCCGGGAGTTTTACTTTCCTCGGAAAATGCCAGAAAAAATACTTTAGTAAAGTTCAAGTACATGCTCAGAGAATGTACTTCAAGCAAAGCACAAGTTTTCTAAACAGTAGTATTTTTAGCACCATGTATTTTAAAGTACTCCCAACACTGCCTGTTTATTATTTTTTATAAAAAAACGTTGGGGGAATTACTAAGGTTTCTCGAACAATCTTCGAATCTTTGAAGATCTGCATATTCTGAGTTTTGGGATAAAAGGCAACGGGCAAAAAGGTCAGCATTGCTTTGCCCTTTAGGACGCGATCCTTCGAGTACAGCACAAACTACGAGAGCACCAGATGAGCTTCACGGCGGGTGCTGCATTTCGTTGCCTCCTTTGAGCGAGAATGCGGTGCGTACAAGTGGGCGAGGGTTTCTACGTTGGGGAAAAGCAGGGATCAGCCCCATTTTCAAATGGGCCAAGTCTCCTTGAGCTTCGGGACACAAGAAACGCCAGTCTTCGGGCGCCAATCCCGCAGTTACTCGGCCTCTCTTGTGTCGTGTCTGTTCACTCCCCACGCGTCGTAGCCGTGTTGTTGCAGTGGGGGGCTCGTGAACATTTTGGGGGGTTTCGGACCCTCCGAATTACTTTCTTAATTCCCCCCTTTCTACGCCACATGCTTCCCGTCTTTGCAAATATCAGCTGACCTTCCGGGGGCATCCCGCTAGGCCAATCGTCGCATTACGGCCAGAGTGCATTAGGGCCGAGAGGGGCGGAAAGGCCGGGAGTGGCTCTGAAGCCGAGTAGGGCGTAAGGGCCGACAACGGCAGTAAGGCCGATAGTATTGGAATGGACTGGTGCGGCAGCCTCCTCGGGGGTCGCGTTGTG